TCTAGTCGGTCAAATTCTAGGTATTCTAGTATTTAATCCTCTTTTACCTCGAATGTCTGAAAAGTCGTTGTTATTCATACCTTCGAGTCTAAGAAGATTAAATAGGGGCAACTGTCATACCCCAAATTTTGACTAGGAATTTTTTAAGCTTGCATTCATCTGACTTCATTTTCATCTTTGCATCATATGTATAATATAGCATAAATTTCATCGGGATCTTAAGACATGTGATCGAAGGTTTTCTGTTGATCTGAGTTTCGTTATTCAAAGGTTATTTCATTTGGATATTGTACTCAAGTTTGAAGCGAGGTGTCGGATTTTCAATCATCATGAGCAGTTTTTGTCAAAGGTTTACCAAAGCACAATTCTAGTTTCTCTGAGTTTCTTCAAGGGTATCAGCTATTCAGGGTTTCATCAACGATCTAACTGGGAGGATTTTGGATTAGGGTTTTGGTTCCCATCAGTTTTCTAAATCACTGTTTCATTCATATGCACCCGGGGCACGAAGATTAAGGTTTCTCACCCTTTGTGTTAAGATGGGCAATGTCGTGCAATTCAGATTTACTTGAGTTGTTTGTTAAAGTCAGGTTGCAGAGCCATTAAAGAAGTCAAAACGATTGGTACATCTCAGGTTATTTGTAAGTCTTGTTCGTGTGGTTCAGGTTCCCGTCATTTGATCTAAGGGTTCGTCAAGTTTGTCATTCAAATCAAGATCACTTTAAGATGGATTTAAGGTTGTGATGTCGTTCAAGATTAATGACATTCAAATTCTCCTATCAAGGTTTTAAGTGTTGTGGAGGCGCGCTACAAAACCTATATCCATTCATGTAACCATTTTATCCAATTTGCTATTTATCCGTTTTCAATAACTATTATCCATTTTTAAATCCATTTCTACCAATATCCATTCAATTATCCGTTCTAATTTTCCAATTTCCATCAAAAACCATAATATTCATAATATTCATTTATGTCCATCTATTTAATATCCATTTTTTATTCCATCCATAATCCAAAAACAAAAGAATCAATTACATTATTACAAATAATAAGCCCATGAAAAAAAGTGATTAAAGCTCAAATCCATTACATTGTATATTCATAAGTCCAATACATTTTTGTTACAAGAAAAACAAAAAAAAGGACATGAAGCCATGACGCACCAAGACACAACTTCACACTTGCACAAAGCCAAGACAAAACCCTGCCTCAAAGCCATGCGCATAAGTAACAACTGCAACAATTCAAACTACGCCTGCTACAAATGTTACAAGTCACAACATTTGAACATAAACCATACACTACTACAACCACCAAACATAAACTGTACCACCACTCCTACATCTGAACCTCCTGCACAACAACGATGGTACCACGACTCACCCCATGCCACTTCAAAACCTGCAATACTCTGGTATCAACAACCAACAAGACCAGACCTACGCAATGAAAACGAAACATCCTAATACTCCAAGCCAAACCTCTGCAACAATTGTACAAAACCTCTTAACATGTATCATGAAAGTGACATATCATAACCAGGAAAAATCTCGTGTAAAACTTAATGATCAAGTTTTGAATTGCTTTGAAAAAGAAAAGGTTGAGGAGACAATAAAAAAGGCACATAATGGCTGAAAGTAAAAAAAAAAACTGCGGAACTAAAGGTTGGGAGATGCAGAATTGTGGCGAAAATCCTCATGACCAATATAAATCTCCCTAGTCTCATCAACTCACAAAAAAAGATCGATTTCACACCTCTTCTTTCTCATATCTGAACTCACAACAAAGGAACTCCTCCTGTCGCAACAACACAACACAACAAACTCGCGACAAAGTCGTAACTAGAATCACACTAAGTCGTAGCAGCAACGACGAACAGTATCACGTGCCGACACTCACGACATCATCGACACTACCCTTGCACCTTCTTAAACCAACGACAAGTTTTAATTATCATCTTCCTAACACCTTGCACCAAAACTTTCATCAAAATATCACCTATAGAAACACAACCCACTGTGAATCAAGATGTTCAACAACATCTTCTTCCCATCCTTGTTTGAAAACAACTCTTTCTCTTCTCATCTTAAAATGCCTCTCAACCACTGTATCTCAACCGTTAAAACTACTGTAGAACAAAAACTTTCAAATTGTTAATCAATATCTCAACACCCATCTTCACAGTGATATACATCATCGCCTCCACCTTGTGAATCTTTCACAACCAAACTCCATGAAACCTTCACCGTGATAATTGCAACTTACCCATTGTGAGCTTGCAACTTTTCCCATCACGAAAACTTCAACGATACAACTGCCACCCTTTTATCCATAACAATCCAAGAAAGAGGGGTTTCGCAGCAGAGAAACAGAAGACAAAATGAGAATAGAGAGGAGCCACCGTGCGAGACAGGGGGATTGAGAATGAGAGTCGCCGCGATTGGGAATAGAATAACCGAGATTGAAATTTGGTGATTTTGTTGTTGATTGGTAATCTCTCTTATTCTCCAAATCTTTCTTGAGTGTTGTGCCTTTTTGTTGTTTTCATTTTTTATTGTTTGTAATAAAATGTGGCCAGCCGTGTGAGGTTTTTTGTGGGGAGATCTTTGGGCCCTTTGGCCCATTTGCTTGATAGCTAATACACTTCTTATAATTAATTTTTTCACCCTTTCTAATGTTTGTTTGTTAATATTTTTGTTAATTGTTTTGTTAATGATCCTGTTAATTATTTTGTGGATAATTTTATTGATAATATTTGTCGAGAATATTGTTAATTATTTTTGTTAAATATTTTTTTTTTTTAACTTTTTTGCTAATTGTCGCTTAGATTTTTATTAATGACACCTTAGATTTTAGTTATTTATTTCCTAAATTTTTCGTTAATTATTCTCTAAGGTTTATTTTTCTTGACTTTTCATGATTTGTTTAGATTGATTATTTGCCATTTTTTATCAAAGATCTTTTCTTTCATGTTTTTTCCTTGAATAAATTTTTTCATGACTTGATGAACCATTTCTTTGATTGGCTTTGTGGCTTACTCACTAATGAAGCTTTGGTCGTGTTTAATTCTTGACGTCCCGATTAATTTTTGAAGTTTTAGTTGTGTTTTATTTTTGACGTTCATCTTGACATTTGAACTTTATTTTATTTGTTTACTCGCTTGTGAATTCTCACGTTCCCTTAGAACCTCCTGGTTCAACTTAATTTTAGATTAAGATCAAAGTAGGATAGATTTTAGATTCTCGATCTTTTGCATGACAACTCTAGGGTAGAATCTCCCTCCATCCTCCGAGTTTATGATCCATCATTGCATAATCACATGTCTTGATGCTTTCCTTATACACATGTTGTTATTTGTTCGTGAGTTTAACTTTGATGTTTGAGGTTTTGCTTTGTGCTCTTTGGACATTACTGTCATGATGCCTATTTTGTTTGACATTATCTTGTGGCTCTTGAATCTATATGATTTTTTGTGCCTAAATCCAAAAGAAAAGGTCTTTTTATTGACTTTATGTCATAAGTAGCTCAGCCTAGCCTACTTTCCCTTTTGAACTTGTTAGAGTCATTAGTCTTCCAACTTAGACTTAAGTTAGAGTTCATAAACTCTATGTAAGTGTTATTGCTATGAACACTTACCTTCCCCTTTTTACCTTGTTAGAGTCATTAACCTTTTTAACTTAGACTTATGTTAGAGTTAGTAAAATCTATGTAAGTATTATTGCTATGAACACTTACCTTCCCCATTTGACCTTGTTAGAGCCATTAGTCTTTTCAACTTAGACTTAAGTTAGAGTTTGTAAACTCTACGGAAGTGTTATTGTTATGAACACTTACCTTCCCCTTGGAACCTTGATCACTATCAAGTGTTCTTCACCCGTTTAGGTGAACTACGAAGGCTCTGATTCCATCTTTGTTAGGATACATAGGCATAAGACCACAAAGTCTTGGCGAGAATACTTAGTAAAACCTCTAGGTTTTTCCCGTAGAACACTTCCCATCAATAGCAAACAAACAATAAAATAACACTAATACAACAAGAGGTTCATATATGATACTATAGATACTTAGGGTGTTAATACATTCCCTTAGTATAACTAATCCCCGAACCTTTAGATCTCTTTGCATTATTGTTACATTGCACCAATTAGGGTTTTATTCGATCTTTTCCCTTTCCTTTGGATAAATTAAAGTTTGGTGATGAACATCTAAATATTTATTATTCAAGTTAATATAATAGTTTGATATCCGATTCTCCTTCAAGCTTTCATGGCGATGGAATTTCCCTCTTTTCCTCATTTATTTTTCATTTAACATTTATAATATTGAGGAATCTAATAAAGGAAAATGTTTACCTTGGTAAGTTGAGGTAAGGCTAATGCTCATGGAATACTGTTAACATTTGACACATTCCTGAGTGAATAGGTATCCATCGGTGAAACTCCTCGGTATCCCCATGACGAACTCGTAATTCTTGTTGAATTGGCTTATCTTAAAGATGATGTGAACTTCAATTATCTTGAGTCACAATCCATTTACTCCAATTCAAATAGATTGTGGTTGTTTGACCCTCTAACGTACTTAAAAAAAACTTAATGAGTGGATCGTTTCCGATTCTAACGTTGAATACTGTATTTGTCGAAGGTATTCTAATTGTAAGTTCCGTATGTTTAATATTATTTTGCCAAAATATGAGTTATAACTATTGTTTATTGTGTTTGAGTGTTATTTAATGACAAGTACGATGTTGACTCTTAAGGTGAAGCCTCATTCTTCTAAAAATCTCACTTTGTATTATTATTGTCTTAAAAAAAATTTCACTCATGTGTTGATTTTGGCGGGTTAACATGACTTAAATAACACGAGGCAAAATAAAGTATTAGAGAAATACAAGCCGTTGATTTTGGCGGGTTCGAATCTACGTGTAATAAAAAATACAGAATATCATTCTTCCTTCACCTGTAGAATTTCTCTCTCCTCTCTTCTGGATCTGCGGCGACAACATGGCAACTTCCAATGGCTCCGACGACGGAACCACTCTATCGGAATCGGCGTTGATCTTTCTCGGAACAGGCTGTTCCAGCATGGTTCCCAATGTATTGTGTCTCATCAATCCCTCTGATCCTCCGTGTTCCGTTTGCGCTCAGTCATTATCGATTCCGCCTGAGAAAAACCCTAATTACAGGTACTCTTTTCAAACGCCTTCATCGCGATCCATTTTTTCTTGATATGATCTTCGTTTTATGGGTTTGCAGGTGTAATACATCGCTCTTGATTGATTATTGTGAAAGCAATGGTGGTCACAAGTATATATTGATTGATGTTGGCAAGACCTTTAGAGAGACGGTGCTCAGATGGTTTGTACCTCATCGGATTCCAAGAATCGATTCTGTGAGTTTATCCTGTCAACGTCTGTGTTCAATTTTCTATTCGGATTTAACTTCCTTGTTGTACTGAAGCTTAATTTTGTAGCGGATCAATACGGATATGCTAATTGCTAATGGTAGGGAAGTTGATAGTGTGTTCAATGCAATGCCTTGCGTTCAACTATATTATTACTAGGTAGTGTCAGTAACATGAGCAGAGCCCCCTAAAAATATGTAGTTGCCATTGGCTCATTTTCCGATCTGATTTTATGGTGCTGTTCTATTAAGGCACATACAAATTATTCACAGCTGCACGCAATTTTTCATTCTCCCAGCCCAGGGAAGAAATTTATTAATGATTAATGAATCATAAGTAATTAAGTATGGTAATAGATAGCTACTGACCTATATTCAAGATCATGGATTGATTATTACAATTTGATTTTTGCCTAGTTTTTCTTCCTTTTCTCTACAAAATGTTCTTTGTAATTTGTATTAACGAGAACTTTTCATTCTTTGAAAATAAAAAATAAGTTCTTGGTTGAGTTGCAGATTATTTTGACTCATGAACACGCCGATGCAGTCCTTGGATTGGATGATATACGGGCTGTGCAGCCTTTTAGTCCAATAAATGATATTGATCCCACCCCCATCTACCTGAGCCAGCATTCAATGGAAAGGTACCTCTAGGGATCATTGCATGTTTTGATTTTTGTTTAGCTTAAATTACATCTATCTTCCTTCTATTTTGAAAACCTACATAAATTTATGTTAAGTTTATAAGGCATTACAAAGTAACCTTAACTATCAAATAGGCGCAGAAAAAGTAACTGAACCATTACCGTTGAAATTAGTTATACTACTTGTTTAAACTATAAGTTCTGACATAGCATTTGCACCCTAAATAAATGCTTTAAGAAGATATAGATAAACACAGATTTTTGTTTAGTTCTTTATCTATAAAAATATATAAAGGCAAAACATCTTTTTGGTGTAGCCTATTTTCTTTTCTGTTTTTCCCTTCAAAACTACTTAGAAGTTGTAGAAGTTACACAAATAAAAATTAACTACTCCCCCCATTTTATATTTGAATATTGTACACAAGTGAAAGTAATTAGTTATTTGAAAAAAAAACTGACTTTTATTTCTCATTAAAAACTATATTTAAATACACATACCACAAATTCAAATACCCATGATTTTAATTAAAATCAAAATTAAAAAAAATACTATATATATTTTTATGTGTAAGTGTATAAAAAAAGCGGACAGATGGGCACGAGTCTGGACGCTAGTGGCTAATTAACACAATATGTATCATTAAGAATAAAATTTAGCTAATTGAATCACTTGATGTAATTTTCAATCTGTTAAAAGGCACCTTATTGATAATATTGGTCTTTAAGTTTATTATTTAATATAGATGATATAATTCTGTTGCTATGGCAAGATAATTATGTGAAATATTACAACTGTATGAATCTTTGAGACGAAACCACTGAACTCAGATGCTTGTATATTTGTGAAATTTGTTAACTACAATGTTGCTCCTTTTTTAAAAAGCAAAATGAATAGTTCATTAAATAAAATAGGACAATCAGGACTAAAAATATTCAATACTGCATCCCAATTCAAAAGCAGTAAGCAGAAGCACAGCCAGTAACAGCAGCAAATTGAAACCAGTAAAAACAAAAAAAGAAAAAAAAAACAAGCCAAAACTTATCCTAACATCAAATTGAGCAGAAAAAGATTAGCAGTACCAGATCAGTTATATTTTACGTATATGTGTTGATCACTTAACCCATAGATTACAAGTTATCGCTTTCTTAGAATGAATTATGATGCACCTTTTCTTTCATTTTATGGGCTATCCTATGCTCTCAAGTAGATGAATCCATATTTTAAAACTTTGCAACAGCATAGAAGAGAAGTTTCCTTATTTGGTTCAGAAACGCAAGGAAGGACAAGAAATTCGAAGGGTAGCTCAGATTGCCTGGAACATTATTACTGATGACTGCAATCAACCATTTTTTGCATCAGGATTAAAGTTCACTCCTTTACCAGTTAAATTCCACTATCTTTGTCCTTATGTTAAGAATACAATACTCGTTTTTATATGAGGACTCACTGTTTTTTTATGGATGTAGGTAATGCATGGAGAGGATTACATCTGTCTGGGATTTCTTTTTGGTGAGAAAAGTAGAGTGGCTTATATATCTGATGTTTCACGGATTCCCGAGAGTACAGAGTATGGTACGATTTGAATCACCTGCATGCTTGGATATATGCATTTCTTCAGTGCTATATTACAAAGTTGGACTATAAGTGTGCTAAGAGATGATTTCTCTATTTGTTTTATCATTTATGTGGCTCTCTTACTTATCTAATTTCTGAAAAATATGCCTTGGCATGTTGTAGTTCCAAGTTATCATCATTGTTGTGATTTGGGCAGGACTAGTTCCTTTTTAGATAGTCCAAACATCTTCAATTCTAGAAGACAAGTTTTATGTTTGAGGTGTCTATACATAACAAGAAAATTGTTGGCTGATTTATGATTTTTGACATCTAACAATAAATTTCCTTTTTACAGCTATTTCAAAAAGTGGAGCTGGACAGTTGGATCTTCTAATATTGGATTCATTGTATAGGGTAAGTAGTTCCTTTTTAAAATTTTTGGTAAATATAATGGTGTACATGATATGCCACTGAAGGATCTCTTCATGCACAACAGGCATGAATGCATGATTTCAGGTGCACTCAGCATTCTATATTTCTGGTATGTTGTTGTGTCAGATTCTTACTTAATGTCACTCCCTTGGGGAGAGGATTCTGCTTACTTGCGGTGTGATAAAGTGCTTCTCACTTCATTGGAATATAGTGGTTTAGAAGTGTTGTGAAGCCTATAGTAATAGTATAATGGAATATATCGGCTTGGATTAGAATAGAGAAAGAAAACATTGTTTATTGATAGAAAATCTCTGCCTTTGGTCCCGTATAAAAATACCAACGGACTACAAAATCATAAATTAGGAACTGAAGACAAGGATAATGCAGATGACACTAACCTTCTGGTTCTGAAACCAAAACTAGTCTCTTTTTTTTTCCCTCTCCCCATTGTTTATATATCTTATCATCTATGATTCTCTAACCAGCCATTTAAACTAACTAAACTAACTAATGGGGTGCGTTTATCTAACAGTTTCTCTATTTTTGTGTCACTGCAGACTGGATCACATAACGTTCACCTTTGTTTTCCACAGGTTTGTTTTCAATTTTGCAAATTGATAATTACACTATCTCACTGGAAGTGAAATATCGTTCATTGGTAATTTTACAGACTCTTGAAACTGTTAAGAGGTTGTGTCCGAAGCAAACCCTTTTGATTGGAATGACTCATGAGTTTGATCACGACAAGGACAATGAGTTTTTGAAAGAATGGTCTAGAAGGTATTCATTTGTAAAGAAGTCGAGTATTGACTGTTGCTATTACATTTAGTAATTTAATTGACCCAACAATTTGATAGTAGCATGGTCATGTAAATGTAATAGTATCTTTGGTTCTTTTACGATTGTGCTTAGGGAAGGAATTCCGGTGCAGCTTTCTCGTGATGGTTTGAGAGTCCCCATAAACTTATAGCAATGGAAGGTAATCTCTTTGCTCCTAATCTTCATATTTATTGCATTATCAGTAGCTGATCATGACTTAGAATAAACATTGACTATATTAAATCTTAACTTGTGCAGTTATACTCTTGCAGGGTAAAGCAAGTGACAATGTATAACATATACAGTTGATCTTATTTAGATTCATTGGAGCATGAATATTTCCAAAGACGCTCAGTTCTTACAGCAATTCTAGTAACAGCCAGTTTTGCTAGTTGGCGGCATTTGTGGATATGACGCCGATAACTTATTATGTTTTTGAGGTAGAAATCTCAATTTTTTCAGTTAAACTTTTGAAATCTGTATTAGAACAATTTTTATTGCAAAATTGGATAGCAATGAGTATTAAGAGCTAAAAAAACCACCTGTATCCTAAGATTCTTTTACAGATGCGCCACTAATCTCTTGACTAGAGATGTAATCTTCAGTCATACAGTGATTGTTATTATAAATAGTCGACTGGACATTTTATTGTTTTTCAGAGTATACTTTTAAAATTTCTATATTCCGCCGTTGACAATGCTTTTACTGTTTTGTTCTGAACCTTCTTGCATACATTCTTATGGCATATTCGGATCTGCGTTTGAAATTTGAATATACAATCCTTTGTCCTAATGTATATGAAGCGTGAAGTTCATGAAGTTGCATTAAAAAGCTTTTGTGCGTTTTGTCCTACCAAATTGAAATTTATTTTAATTTTTAAAAACGAATTGTTCAAGTTAATTGAATTCTAACATCTTTTCATCGATAAACTTTAACTAGAAAAAGTATAATAACAATCCCTCCGCCGCCACAATTCGCTACAATTTATAAATAGCTAAACTTAAAAAAGTTATTAGTTTTTCTTAGTTTTCTTTCAAGTGATATGGTCCAATTATTATTTTTCTTTCAAGTGATCTGGTCTGAGAATTGAGAGAATTCTGTCCATTTGTACGACCAGAACACTTACTAAGTAATTCGGTCCATAGAAAATTTTGGAACAGATCCATATAAATAATGGTCCGTATTATTTTTTATTGTCCTCCAGATTATTTAAAATTGAATTCGAGAGTTACTCAATTCTATCAATACTGGATTAGTTAATATTGTAGTTTTTTTTTTCTTTTCAAAATTACACCACCAAATGTCCTTTAAATTATTACTTTTTAATAAAAGGTCGGTAATTTCTATATTTTTTTCTCACTTTTAAAATATTTTAAAATGTTTAAATATTGTATTTCGGATTATACCTCATTATTTTCATATCACTTAAAACAATTGATTCATAATTAGCACATTCACTCTATTATAAAAAGATAACAGTTATAAAAAAAAACACTTTAAAGACCAACATATTATAAAATAATAATTTAAAAGCCCTCTAATATATTTTGCCTTATATTTTCATCACCAAATTAATTAAGAGTGTATTTTTCTGGAAATTTGGTTTTTAAGTCATCGAATTACTTTATTTGAATGATTTGTTTTTTTTTAATGTCTCTAATTATATTTAAAAAAATATTTTAAAAAGTGGTGCATAGTGATCGGTGATATGATAATTCAATGTGGACGTATAGGGCGAAACGATTTACACAACAAAATAAAAAATGTGCATGAGGAGCAACAATATCATTAGGTTGTACGACATACCTCTTCTGGGATTATGACACGAAGAGGTGAGTAATTATTTTTTAATGATGTAAAATCTATCCTTCTTAATATTTGTAGCACGAAAGATAGACATACATCAGGGAGAGTTGCAGTTATGTTGTGAGTTATTTAGAATAATAGAAACAATTAGATTTGGAACAACGAGAAGAAGAATGCGAACAAGTTAGGTATACAAGCATTTTAATGTCTTACAAGATTGGTTTCAAGCTCAAATATCTTATTCCTCTCCTATTGACAACGTTGTCCATCCGTTGGTTTGGCATCCTCCGTGTGTAGGGTGGGTGAAATATAATGTGGATGAATGATTTAATAACTAAAAAGGAATAACTAATAGAGGATGTTGTTTTCCTGATAGTGGTGGGAGGTTCATCAATGCTGCAATAACTTGGAATTTTGACATCTTATATGTGATAGAGGGTGAAGCGTTGGTGTTAAAGGAAGCGGTGCAGGCAACCATTCAAATGTACTGGATAATGTCATTTTTTAGTGTGATTCTCAATTGGTGGTGCAAGCTGTTCACAATACCATTAGTGGTTCTTCTAAGTTTAGCTTAATTATCTCTTGTATTAAGAATCTTCTAATTTCTCTTTTCAACTTTGAGGAGAAGTTTGTGAAACGCCAAGCAAATTCGACTGCCCATATGTTAGCTAAGGCGGTCGATTCTTGGTTTAAGCGTAGTGTTTTTCAATTGATTCCTCTTTTTATTTAACAACTTTTACTTAAGAATATGAATTGAATTTGTTTGAGTCAAAAAAACATCTTTAATTTACTTAATTATTTATATATTATAATGTTTACTTTAAATTATTTTCAGAAGCGATGTTAGAAGAAGGAGTTAAAGATTGCATCATAAATGAGGAAACTGCTAGAATGAATTTTATTATATCTTCCACCTGTGATACATGGTTGGTTGGATGACTCTAGTTTATCTTCACTCCAAAGAGTCAACTTGAAGATGATAGATCACAACCTTATCTCATCATTTGTAGAGAGATGGCATATAGAGACATCGTCAGTTTATATGACATTTGATGAATGACAATTACTCTTGACAATGTTTCTTTTCTACTTCATCTTTCAATTTTGGATGATTTCTACCATCATCTAGCAAGTATCAATGAATAAGATGTTGTTGCTCTTGCTATTTAGTCACCTGTATTGTTCTCAAACATCTTCTTTAATTTTAAATGAACATACTTAAGTCTAAAATGAAAATAAGCATCAAATAAACAGAAATTCAAAGCATGCAAACTTTAATTCTTCATAATCATACATATTAGTCGCGATGTCGCCAGAATACAAACTCGATTAATCCATACTCTAAAAAATATATGCTTATGAGAAATCAACCATGTGTCTTTCAGATAATCAATGAATTGACTATAATCAACACATACTTGCTCTAGTTGTTGCAGTCGTTGATGGTACTCCATCTCATCACTGGTCCATACAAAATAAATTCATAGTGCGTTTATCACCTCTTGCATATCATTCACAACATATTGCTTGCATTTTAACTGGACATTTTTGTTGATTATGAAATCGACATAGCAAATTAACTGTCTTTTCATTCGCTTTCCTCAATGTAAGATCTCTATCATTCAAAATCACATGTGGACATAACTTTTCCTTACTGAACAACTGTTTCATTTTATCCAATACCCAACAAAAATTCCCCGTCTACTTAGATTCTTTATAGGCAAACGCAACCGAAAATGTCAACTCGTTTGACGTCAACAACTTGATTGGATTTGGATGGGCCCAAAAATATTTCAAACAACATCAATTTAAACAAATGTTGTATCTCACTTCTTGCAAGGATAAAAGTATGCATCTAAATGGAACATGACAATTATTTAAATCAACAACATGTTCCCGCTCATCTTCACTTAGATGTCATACAAACACATGACCTTCAAATCTATTAGGTAAATTGTGGTTGCAAAGTACACATTTCAAATCAATCTTTCATCCTGAAACCTTATTTCATGGTGTTAACCTAATTTTGAATAGACACCCACATTTTTTAGTAGCGTTTTGTGTTGCACTATTCACTTCTTTGTATTTTCCACCTTTATCACAACCAAATGTTGATTTGTCACTTCTCTTTCTCTTTCATGTTTCAATATCTGATCGTGTAATGACGACAATCATGTTATGCTTGATTCAACCTCTTTAACTCATCTTACTACCATTTCTCGTGTATCAAATTTTTGTGTAATTGAGAATGCATCGGAGATTCTATACATGTCTAATTTTTATCGCATATCTGTAAAGAAATCTTCATATTTGTGAAATATAAAAAATTATTTTAAACAAAATGCATATTGAATTACTTATAGGTGTATTCCAATAGCCTATTTATTGAAGGCTTTAAGAATTCTGCCTCGAATATTCATAGGAACCTGTAACACCCCACTCTAAACTATCGCGGAAAAATAAGATAAACAACAGAAACAATTCAGAGTGCAGCAAATAAAGTTCCATGACGACTGTCATGGATGTCACGACCGTCACGGTCATGACGAGCGTCAGGGAGTGGTGACGACCGTCACACTCTCAAAATCTGGGACGCATCAGAGGTGTCACATTTCAACACTTAACAAAACAACATACACCTGCAACGGATCACTTAATAACACACGTAGTACATATTCGGATGAACAGGCAACAGTAATTTGTTTAACATTTTAATCATAAAACGACATGTTATAATACACTCCCAACAATTCATAAACAACTAAATTCCATTAAAATTTAACAAGTAATTATCTTGCATCAATTCATGAAAACAACTATGCAACCAAGCAACACTTGGCCTTATCAGTAACAACCAATTTATTTGAAGTGTACTTAATAAAATTCAGCAACAAGGAGTTCAACTAAAAACAGTAACATCAATCGTTCATCTCCCCAGAGTGCTACGTATCAGAGCGACCAACGACCTTAAACATAAAGTGACACTTTATTCCGAGTTACCTGCAAATTACCACCAATGGCGGTAACATACAACGTAAAAGGTGAGATATCAACAACATAACATAAGGCATGATAAAAGTCATGTCAGGGTTATATCACAGCAATTAAGATTCTCGCGGCTTTATAAATATCATAAATAATGACTACATTGATTCATCGCTCATATATACCACAACAAGCAAGATATCTCATCAACACGTCATCACGTGCAAACATAACAAAAATGCGACTCTATGCGACTCAACTGTGCATATGCATGTGGTACCATTTTGGGAGACAACACTCCACAATTATTCGGGAGACTCACTCCACAATTATTCGGGAGACTCACTCCACAATTATCCG